CAACTTGCAGGCGTTTGAGATTTAAATTTGTAGAAATTTTAAAAATTCAATACCAAGTCAGTTTCAGTATCGAAAACTACAAAATAAACACTCAGTTTTCAAAGCACAACAGTTTACGGCCTCTATGGCCTAGTAGTTAGGCTACCGGACTCGTAATCGTGAGGTTGCGGGCTCCGGGGTTCAAGCCTTAGCTTGGTCCAACGTTGTGTCCTTGGGAAAGATACATAAGAAGAATTTTCCCTCTCGGATCTATCTTTTCAGAGACCCATATTAAAAACAGAGGCCCCGCCTCTTAAATGACCCCACAGTGTTCATAGGGGGATGTAACCTGTACTATTGAGGAGACAGAGGCCAGTACTGCTGTTTTGGGGGGAAGGGGGGTTCAGCAGAGGTTTTACAGAACTTGCAACTGCATAACGACATATGAGTGCCAGAAGAGGTGTTACAAGGGAGTAATATAAAAAAGAATAAGCAGAGATAGGGACAATAGATGTTTGATAGGAAAGAAGAGGCAAACCACACTAGAGCACCCATCACCCACCCACCAGATGTTGCTTTTGAGAGGATGTTGCTTTTGGGAACACAAAAAGGAAGCAGATAATCTGGCATCCTTGCAAGAGAGAACAGAAGAACGTTCAACCAGACATGCACTGGCACAATCAGTGGAAAGATCCTCATTGACATTTTACGGCACTTCCAACACAATAAGGTCATATAAGCGCCGAAGATTAGAGGAGTTACAAGAGAGTAACAAACACAAAAACCAAGTAGTAGAGATAAGGACGATAGATGTTTGATAGGAAAGAAGAAGCAAATGACACCAGAGCACCCGCCAACCACCCACATCGACATTTTGGAGAGAGAAACGGAGCATCAATGGACATGTGTGAAACGCAGGCATGAAACAATGAACAATGAACAATGAACAATGAACCTAAACTATTTCACCCCCAACAGCTGACAAGTGTGTACCTGTGGTAGAAAGCGGCCGACGTGAGCACCATGGAGTAGTCATTGGTCCATCGCGACGAGTAGCGCCACTTGCCCAGCGCCTCCTCCCAGTAGTGGCTGCGTGATGGGTAGCCAACCAGGCGCTCCGGGAACTCCAGCCACACGCCGAAGGCAAAGTCCACCTGGCCGAGGAAGTTGTAGGTTTAGTTTAGTACGAGTTTTACGGTGCTTGCAACACAAAAAAGTCATCAGGCAGGCCAACTTTTTTACCACAAAAAAGAGGAGGGGAGAAAAAGATGACAGATGTTTGACAGGAAAGAAGAAGCAAATCACATCAGAGCACCCGCCAACCACCAACAGGCAAAGATTAGAGGTGTTACAAGAGAGTAACAAACATAAAAAAGGAGGAGAGATAAGGATTACAGATGTTTGAAAGGAGCAAACCACACCTGAGCACACGCCCACCACCATTTGGGCAATTTTTATCGATTTTTTCTTTTTTTAGGCTCAGCACCTGTCATGTCCATTTATAAACACATTTCTGCGAGGATTTCGAAAAATGGGAAACAAAGGCACATGTACATTGGCAGTGTCCAAGAACTCTCAAGATTTGGAAGTCACCTAATTTTGGCGGCCATGTTCTCAAGAATTCTACTTCACCTACTAGGCGACCCCCACCTCCCTTGATTGCACATATCTCGACTTTTGTTCAAGATATGGGTATTTTTTTCATTAAAAGAAAGAAAAATGAACAGGCTTAACACTCTTTCATCCAATCAGCGCATTATTGCGCCGACTAAAAGTTCGTGTATTCGTCAATCTAGTAGTAGTAGTATAGGGTTTTACGGCGCTCGCAACTGCTACGGTCACATGAGCGCGCGAAACACAAGTTGTTTACTTTCGCAAAAGTTCACTCCACGATTGGTTAACTAATTGACTTTAAAATGCTAAAATGTTAAAATATTAAAATTCAGTGTAAATATATTTGTGATTTAAAACAATAGGTAACAATAAACATTTTAAATAGTACGTTTTCATTTTACAATTTGCTGGGACCAACGACGGGAAAAATATCTTGTAATTTCTTGCATTTATAATATTTCCTTCGGATCTCTCCAAAGTCT